TATAAATATGTTTAGCAAACCGCACCTTTATGAAAATATTCATTGTTGCCCACAATGATGTTGTAATCAAATTATTCTTTTTTTACTGAAAAAGTGAACATGACAACATCCGCCTTAAAGTATGCTCAACATTATTCGTTTATAGTTGAAGGTTAAACGTTAAGTTGAAAAACATTATATAGATGTCACTCTACCATTTAATATAATACGCCAGATGTAGATGACACATTTGCATAACATAAGTGTAATAATTACGTGAAGATGTCGCCCTGGGGACATAAATATCGATAACATATAATAATCGAAAAGCTACACATGATGAAAATCGATATGGTGGATTTTTCGATAACAGGCTTTATTATTATCGAAGTTGTAGGGTGATACAGAACAGACATATTTTACAATTTTAACCAGGGCTGGGATGCCGAGATATTTTCCAAACTACTCTGACTCAGAAACATAACTTTATTTTTCATTTTTATTTGTTATTTATTTTCAATTTGTAAAGTAACTTAGCCCATAGGGCCATGGCAGTTCCAAAAACTTCTAAAAACGACTACTCTTATGGCCTTTATTAACAAAAAAATAGCGTATTTGGGTGGAACCATTAAGTCATAACTGGTCGTTGGGCCAAAAAATCTGGGGTCAAAGGATATTAAAATAAAAACTATGATCTGCGAAAATTCAATACATTTGGTGGTTTGCTTTGCTGGCCATCAATTAAATTTTCACCCCTAGAGAATATTGGTTGTGAAAATTAAAATAATACGATACGATCTGGAAGGTACCGTTATATGGGATTAAACCATAAAATGAAAAATAGGCACGAGCATTCAAACATTTTAGGGCATTCGTCATGAATAGGTAGTCCCATCGAAACAGCTGCTGGGACAATAAACTGTCAAACCAATTTTCAACCCCCGTAGAAACCAAGATGGGCCAAATCAATTAAAAAATGTAGCCAAGACCCGAATAATAGCTGAAATCAGAGGATACGTTAATATAAGGGTCATACCAAAACGTGGACCTAAATTGATAATTGTTTGCGGGATTATGTCGTCGTAATTAAAACAAGTAAAAAAGCTGTAAGTTCGGCCGGGCCCATCTTTGAATACCCTCCACCATTTGCAACAAATTTGGCAATTTCCTAAAAAATAAAATCCGTTAAAAATTCTGTTAAAATCTTAAAAATACCGAATGTAACCGTTACATTAGGATCTAACGACGACGTGGACCTGCAGAGGCAACAACAATATTCAAATACAAAACTTGAAAATAAAATTCGGTGAATAATGTAGCTAAAATTATCAAAATACCGAATATGAGGAGGTACCGTTATGTTGGGGCTATACGAAGACGTGGACCTAAGAGACTATTTTCTGTTATAGGCTGTAGTATTCATTTCAAACTTCAAATACCAAATTTGAAACAATTCCGGTGAATAATGTCGCTAAAATCATCCAAATACCGAATATCGGGAGATATGTCATATGGGGGCTATACCAAACCGTGGGCCTACATGACCCATTTTCAATACCAAAAGTCCTGCAGACATAATACACCTAACAGACTATTTTCTGTTATAGGCTGTAGTATTCATTTCAAACTTCAAATACCAAATTTGAAACAATTCCGGTGAATAATGTCGCTAAAATCATCCAAATACCGAATATCGGGAGATATGTCATATGGGGGCTATACCAAACCGTGGGCCTACATGACCCATTTTCAATACCAAAAGTCCTGCAGACATAATACACATTTGAGTAAAATTTTATCAACCTACTTCATTTCGTTCGGAAGTCAGAGTGATTTCCACTGACGGGCGGATATCGCTAAATCAACATAGAATTTTATGCTGATCAAGAATATATGTACTTTATGGGATCTAAAATGAATATTTCGAGGTGTTACAAACGGAATGACAAACTTTATATACCCTCCATACTATGGTGGAGGGTATAAAAAGCAACTAATTCTAGCTCAAACTTTAAATCCCTCCACCTTTTGGAAAGAACTTCCAAAATTTCAAAAATTCCGTTTTAATTATAAAGATACCGAAATAATGCGGTTGTGGCTAATTTCAAAATGTGTAAATTCGAAAGTGTGGCTAAATTCGACAATAAAATATATAATAGAGGGTACTTTGATACCCCTAACAAACTTCAAATACCAAGTTTGAAAAAAATGTGACAAATCTTCAAAAGAAAATAATTCTAATAAACAATGTAGCTATTAGGGATATGGGGGCTATACGAAAACTTGGACAGAAAATGTGACATAAATCATCAAATATCATCAGGAATAGGGGAACCATGTGAGGAATAGGGGAACCAAATTTCAACTTTCTCATAATTTTATTGAACAATGTTGCCAAAATCATCAAAGTACGGTACATGGGGGGCTGCTATACGAAGACATGGGCCCGTGTTGGTCCCATTTTCTATCGTAGGAAGTATCAGCCATTACGAACTTCAAATACCAAATTGGAAAATATTCTGGTAAAAAATGTGAGACAAAACATCAAAATACCGAATCTCTGGAAATTTGGATGGGTTCTATACTAAACATATACCCATGTGCTCAGTTCTCTGCGAGCACGTTTTCAACATTCCGGGTACACAAACAATCAATTTACAGTTAATTCGGATTAAAATTGTGAATAAAACACCCAAAACACCTCTTAAGCAACAAGTGCAGTTATATGGGGGGACTTTAGGAACTCAATATTCCAAATTTGGTCCTTTAACATATAATCGTCTCAATGTCATTATAAAGGGGAATATACCGATTATAAGTATCTGAGACTGTATTAGTGTGAATGCGTCTTGGACAATTATTTACAGTTCAGACAAATGGAATGAAAAATCGACTACACGTTCCATGTTGAAGGGTATACAAATCAATGTTACTTTGGATATATTTTTCTTAGGTAATATTGTTGCATAGAATCTGAAGTCCACATACCTAATATTTAGGAGGGACGAAAACTCCTAAATACTGGCATCAGAATGTCAAATTAAATCATAATAAATTAAAATAAAACAACAAATAAAAATGCAAAACAGAAAATAATTTATTTATATTTTATTCAATATTGCTGCAATAATCCACGATGCCAACACAACTGTCATACACAACTGGTGCATGGTTGCACCTCCTCTGGCCACGATGTCCTTCGATTTTACGCTAACTTCCAAAGAAATCTGTCTTCGTCCAATGTTTTTTAAATCAATTGCAACATCATTGCACAAACTACCATTGCAACGTACACACAATGGATCGTTATTCGTGCATTCGGCCAAATGTGAAGCACATCCTCGCAAAACATAGGTCAATTCTAATTTAGAAACAACCGTACTAACACATAGATCATCATGCGAAGAACAGTTTCGTTGATTCATTGTATCCGGATATATCATGGTGTCACAATCTTCATCATCCAACGAAGAGCACGAATAACATGTGCGTACCGGATAACGATTACAGCCAGTCGATGTGGAATCGCGGCAGAAATAACACACCTCATTCACTCGAGGTTTCGCAAAGAAATCTGCATCAGCACACCCCCTTGTTACATGGCTACCATTTTCACATGAAAAGCATGATTGGGTTCCATTGGCGCACTTGCTGGCATACAGATTCTTGCCCTCTATGCATTTGGGATCATCCTTGGAGGAACAAGTGTTGCATGATATTGTCAAACAATCATTGTTGCAATTTTCTCCATAACATTCCGTTAGAGTTCCACTGGGGAAAAATGGTTTGTTGGATGAACAGCCACGTTGCACAACTCCCGTCTGTTCATTGATGTAGGTAAAACACTTTGCTTGCTCCCCATATAGATTCTTATTTTCACAATACAAAGCCGAAGAGGCTGCACATTTATCTGCCATCATATCCTGGCCACGCCAACAATCCGTATTGGGGCTAGCAAATGTATGCTGACACTGCAAACAACTTTGTTTCCAAACTCCGGGTTCATTGTTACAACCATCACGATTACATTTGATACATGAATGGGGGCATGTTGTGGAATCTGTGACGGAACGCTCACATCCTCGCTGAACATTAGACATGTGTAGTACTTTGGTGAAGCAGCGATCATTTTCATGATAAAAAGGACATGGAAGCAACCATTTGGTGTTATTGGCCACATCGACACAATCCGCTCCAGAACATTGATAACAGCGTAGACGGTCGTGAGGGAATATATCACGATTACAGAGACTCTTTTGACATCGTTCACAGGGTTCCGGGCAGTAGCGTGTGGGAAACAGACGAGTCAGACAACCTCGTCGTGTTATACCCGAGGCTGGCAATAAATAGGAAGTGATTATATTTTTCTTTATTCTTTGGTTAGTCCTTATTTGCTATGGGCTTATTCTATGTGATTAGTATGAGTTCTCCGCCAATGTTTAATGAAATGAACAATCACAATGTACACATATTTTGTTAAAGTTTTATGATTTCTTAAAGTATTTCTTATCCGAAATGTATTAGTATTTAACTAGATTATTATTAAAGTTCACTGTTTGTTTAGCAAATCACTACAAGCTTGAATCGTGAAAGCATTACTGCTACCAAAAGCAGCAAAATACATTCCTACTTATGCTTCCCTCATATAAATATTTTAAAGTTTTAGAGGAAATTAAAATGTAAATTGGAGCCCAACTCTTATTCTTTTAAAGTCGATAAAAATAGATGGAACATCTAACAAATTTATATTTTAATCTGAACTGATTTCCTACAATTTAAATTGTATCTAATATGTAGCTCATGTAAGTGAGTTGGTCTGTTTTCAAGTGTAAATAACAATCAATACTAGTTGGTGCACCTCATCGTCAATTCTCGTACCAAGCATGTTACAAACCATATTAATTTTGGTTAATTTGATAAGCTTTTGAAAATAGTTCTAAATTTCTCCATAAAATTCTTACATTTTTTAAAAATTACTAAATTATTACAACTTCTAAAATAAAATTAAAATTTTGACTTACCCACAACTTGAACACATTCATCTGTTTCCGAAGGACATTCTTCTACAGAAATCTGACGACCCGGTTTGGTAGCACATTCTGGATCCTCGTTAGAATCACAGGCATAACATTCTAGTGCACTAACTAAAAAATGACAAAAAAAAATTGTTAAACCTAATTAAAAAAATGTTATGCATTAAGATACCTCTTTGTCCCGCAATTAAAGCCGCGAAGAACACTATTACTGCTAGCCCTCTATTGATTTTCATGTTCCGTTTGCAATGCCTTAACCCGTTGTTCATTAATACAATGTCATTACTGATGGATTACCATTAGACATTTGGAAACAAACTCAACACTTTCGAAAAAAATAATTCCAATATTCGATTGTCTTGCCAATGATAAGATAATGGCATTGAAATTATTAGCCAACGCTGATGATTATCGATCCTCAAACGGAGAACGAGAGAGAGGTCGATTGGAATATCTTTTTCGTATTATTCTTGATTCTGACGATTACCAAATTCAATATCAAACAACAATTGTTGGATTTGTAGTCGGGCTATGGCATTTTGTCGATTAGTCAGACGCCGCATTGCTGGTGCACAACTAAGAAGGAATTTCTCATCCGAATCGAAATAGTTATTCGAAGCATAATATTGTGGAGTCATTTGGGTGTTTTGTCTTTTATACTCGGCATTTTGATTTGAGCTGGTGTTTGGGGTATGATGATGTTGACTGTGATGGTGGTGATCAATAACTTCCGCCTCTTCGGGTACAGGCATAAAATCTGTAGCTTGTACCGAAACTGTGTTCTGTTGAACATGTTCATTACTATGCCTCTCTTCGATGTGACTTTCCAATTTGTTATTGTTCTGATTACCTTGCGCTTGTTCTATAACAGCCGATGAAGAGTTTTCACAGTGTATGCTTTGATCATCGGAATTGTCACCGAATTCCTCAATCAGATGGTCATCCAAGGCATAGCTTGAAAAGAAAAATTGAAAAATTTATTAAAATTGGAAAAAAAAATTACACACCTTTTCATTACCTTGCATTATCCATATAGGGTATCATAAACGTCATCTGATCATAGAATATCCATTTGCGATGCTTATTTCGCGTGTGCTCATCTTCGGTTCTTTGAACCTGCTTATAGTGCTTGGCAAAAGAATCTCTAAGGGAACGCCATCGCCTCCGACATTCATCTGTTGTTGCACCCATGACCTCACTAACTTCCTGCCAATGCATTTGACGCAGCGAAGATTTGCGAAATGACTTCAACGTACGATCATACAGAATTGGCCTCAGTTGTACTTGATGTATAAGTTCTTCCTCGTTCAATACAACTAATTTACCCGTCGACCGTCTTTTTCTTATTTGAGGCTTTCTGGTAGAGCTCATTTTTTTCAGCATGCGAAAAATCAGCCTTATTCATTCAAACATACATTTCACCATTTGATAGGAATAGTAAATCAAACAATTATAAACTGGAAAATGCCTTATCAGCTTAACTGGCGGCTCAAACAATCGCAGAACGTTACACTTTTATTTCAACTTTATTATTTGCTAATAAATTCTTTTTCAGTAAAATAGTCTTCAACAACCGCACGCAGTAAAATCACAAACACGACTGAGGATATAGCTTGCGGTTAGAACTTTTCCCGCGCAAATTTGTGGCATAATACACTTCTCAAGTTGTTTCGCCGACAGTTTGTCACACAAATATATAAAATGTTTATGGATTCATGACTTACTTTGCAAGTATAGACTTAGACACTATTATTAAGTGAATTTGTTAAGAATTACAGTCTTTTATACAGTTTTCACACAAATTATTTCCGTTTTATTGCTGAAACTTTGCAAAACAGCGTTTGCTACTAGGGATAGATAAGTCGACTTCCGATTAATCGAAAGCTGTAACTACGCTTAGTGAAAATATCAACGGCGTAAGAATATTTGCCATCGCCTTTGCTTTTTTATCAGCTGGTAATATATTTGCATGGCCACACGTCGAGTTTGTGGGAGTGTTTTGTAAAATGAAAAATATTATATACTTTCTGCTTCTAAAGTGTGTAAAAATAATTCAATAAATAAATATTTCATTAGTTTACATGTGTATTTGAAATTATTTGTGGAAAATCCCATATAAAATGTTTTCTTGACTATCATTTTTAAATATTCAATAATCGTTTCCTATTATTATTGGTTATTCTACTGCCATATTTTTTGTAATCCTAGGGTTTTTTCTTCGTAAATTACTTGACACTGACTGAATGGCATTAGTTCTGTTCCTAAACGTAAAATATAATATTAAATTGTACAATATTTTACAAAATATATGATATTATGTTATTCTTTCAATTTTCTGAACACTTTTAGTTGGTAAACTTGAATACCCTAATAGAACACAAAAAAACAAGATGGAACTAGTAAAAGAGCTGTAAGTTCGGCCGGGACGAACTTTGAAAACCCTCCACCATTTGGAACGAATTTGGTAATATTCAAAAAGTAAATAAATAAATAAAATTCGTTTAAAATTCTGTTAAAATCTTAAAAATACCAAATGTAGCCGTTATATTATGGTCTATACGAAGACGTAAACCTGCACAGACAATTTTTTGTCATAGGCTGTAATATCCATTACGAACTTCAAATTCAAATTTGAAACAATTCCGGTGAATATTGTCGCTAAAATCATCAAAATACCGAACATGGGGCGGTGCCGATATATGGGGGCTATACCAAAACGTGGTCTTATATGGCTTATATACCAATAGTTCTGTAGACATAACATACATTTGAGTAAAATTTTATCAACCTACTTCATTTCGTTCGGAGGCTTGAGTGATTTACACAGACGCACGGACTTCGCTAAATCGACATAGAATTTTATGCTGATCAAGAATATATATACCTTGTGGAGGTAGAAGAGCTTCGTAAGACTACTAAAATTCAGCCATGAGGATATGACATAATTATTAAAAATTAGAAGCAACAAGATGTTCTCAATTCTTTGTTATTTTTTCTCATTTTTGAAATGAGTTAAAAAAGGCAAAAGATGAATGGAATGCCTGAATTTCATTCAAAACATGATCCAACTGTTCAATATTTTCGGTGCGCGATCAGCCATGCCTAATAATAGTAAAAACTTTTACATTGTTCTGATTTATACCAGGCGAGTTTACTGGCGACAATTTTTATCGTTCACTTTTGAACATGTCTCTTACATTATTTTCAGCTAGTTTCTTTATTGCCTTTGATATTTTTTGTTCATTTCTAAAATGAGTCAAATAGAGCGAAAGATGAATGAAATGCCAGGATGTTCTCTTAAATATATGATCCTAAGTGTTCAATTTTTTAATTCCATGGCAAATCTCGTTAAAATTATTAAAGCGCGCCCCGCAATTTAAGTTTTTTCAAATCATTGTTTTTGAAAATATTTTGTTTTTATTTTTCAAAATAACAATAACTGTAATCAGATGGGAGATCTACCTTACCTTTTTATTGTACCATGGTACGAGCATTTTTTTCATTTCCATTCTCCATACACCTCTTTCCCACAAACATAGAATTGCTAAATTCGGACATTCAAATTTAAGTATATTTTTTTAAAAAGGTTTGTTTTTTTCATTTAGGGTCATTTTGACAATTTTCCATAAAAACCATCTGGCAGTCCGGTTTAAATGAATGAAAACAATTTAAAAAAAAAAAAAAATTAATATAGATTTGACGGTTTTCAATTTTGTTATCGTCATTTTGGCGATTTTCCATAAAATTAATCTGGCAACCCTGCTCGCATGACATTTCATCGTTGTTATTGTTTTTGGGAAAACACTCGGCTTGTTTACGATTAACAGCCGCCGACGAAATTAGTTGAATTGAAGAAATCAAGAAATCAAACGTGCAATACGGCGGATCTACATTTATTTTGACTGGGTTAGTGGTGTGTCATGGGAGATCACCCTAATTTCACATCGTCATACAAAAAAGGAGAACAACAACTGCTGCAGCAGGTGTAAGACGAGAAACACTTTCATTTTTCAAGAAACAAACTACAAACCAAAGCAGAAGGAAACATAAAAAATGTATAACCTTCAAATATTATAGCTAATACATTAGCATTATTTTTTTTGCTGAGGCCACAAGAAATCGTAACAATAACAACAATACGTGCACGCCAAGCCCTCTCAGCCTAGGAAGTACAATAGAAACACACGACAAACAGTGCCATCCACATCCACAGAACTTGCAAAATTTTCCAGACGTACCAGAGTCAACAAAAACAACAATACAATACATTGACCTTTAAATTATTAAAAAGACTACAAAGGTTCAGATGTATACTTAACAATTTAATTTCATTTATTGTTCGACAAGCTGTGTTATATATATTTTCTAACACTTCGTTTTTGATGTCGTCTTTCAACGAAGGAGAATTCAATTAAGTCTCAATTGAGGGCATAAATTATCTAAATTTTTGTCATTTGGAAGCCTGGAAACCTAAAACAACGAACGCCCAGTAATCGATAGCCAAAAGTAAACAATTAAACAAAAGAGGTCTGAGTGTGGAAAGAGGGAAAGTGAAGGAGGTCAACGGAGATTTTACATATAAATTAGTTGAAGGTATGTAAATATTTATATGTGTGGTGTTAGTTATGTGGAGTGTATGAGAAGCGTAAACTTTTTTTTTTTTTGAACTTTGAAACGAAACCCTTGTTGAAGGGCAAAGATGGCGATTTCTAGGAATCAAAACGCCAGGTTATATTCACAAGGTGGTTTTAGTTGTTGTTTTGCAGTTAATATCTTGTGATTAGACTCGAACTTCTGGTTGAGAGTGGTAACAACGATGAGTGTGTGTATCAATTTGCGTAGTTAAAACGATAACACCAAAAGGTGTATGTAAAGACAAATCCAGTGTGTTTATATTGTGATGATCAAAACTGCACTAGAGTTTTGATATGTCCAATAGATGCAGGTGACTTATCCAAAGCAAAAAATAGAGCGTATCTTGTGATTGGACAAGCGAACATCTGGTTGAGAGTGATAACAATTTTGTGTGTGTGTGTCAATTAGGGTGATTAAAACGATAACACCAAAAGGTGTATATAAAAAGGTGATATGTCCAATAGATGCAGGTGGCTTATCCAAAGCAAGGAATAGAGCGCTGTGGAGTAGAAAAATTCAGGAAAAATGGGGGAGGGGGAGCGAGATTTCAAGTTAGTATTTGTTTAATAGTATTTTAATAAAAAAAAAATATCACAGATTGTATCACAGGAAAAGAAATCACAGGTTTAGATTAGCTTCCTTAATAAAATCAAGGAGTTGTATATAGAGATTGGTGTTTTGTGTTTGGAGGAGGGTTGTCAGTTTATGGTGAAGTGAGAAGAGGCTAGGAAAATTGGGTCTTATGTTTACGAACCTCAGACATTCAAAAATACAATGTTGGGCATCTTCCCGACTGCCACACGTTTCGCAGATATCATTATCTACTGCTCCAATGCGATGTAAAAAAACCTTATCATAAGGTTGACCAACCATCAACCTATTTATTAATTTTGTATCTTTCGAGGATAGGTTTAGATTGAGGTACCAAGGGCGTGTAAAAACATTTCCACAGATTTGGAAAAAATTTTTTCCCTTGGTCATTGAGATTTGAGAAAAATCGTCGTTCCAGTCATTGACAATTTTATGTTTGATCATCATTAGAGCCTCATTAGTCGAGAGCTCAGAGTTAACGGGGGCACCAAATTCAGCTGCTTGTTTTGCAAGGTAATCCACCTCTTCATTAAAAGAGATACCACGATGACCAGGGGTCCAAATAACATGACAACGTTGAATATTTGAATCACGTAGAATGTTGTGGAATTCTCCAACCAAAAAGTTGTCCGAGTTATCAGTAGCCAAAGCCTTGCAGGCCGCAAGACTGTCTGTAAATAGGACACATTTGTCTTTTCTGTCTTCCACAGCAATCTGTAGAGCCTTTTTAAGGGCAAAAAGCTCGCCAAAGGTGGATGAGGTTTTAAAATCAATCTTGAAAAGAAATCTTTGCTTTTTGGAGATGTTGTAGATTCCACAGCCGGTGGCATTGTTTTTGACCGACGCATCGGTCGCGAATAATTCAAAGTCATGCATTTTGTAGTGAGCAATCTCCTTGTTATAAATGGCTTGTAATATTTCATTACCGGTGTTATCTTTTTTGGAAGGTAGTAAGTTGGTTCTGACATGCAGCGAGTTTTGTCGGGAATATGCTACCGTTTTAATCCGTTCAAAAATTTCTGCATGATCATGAAAAACTTTGCTGTAGCTGGATTTGACCAATGGGTTGTTAGCGATGATATCATATAGTTCTGGATTTTGTAGTCTCACTTTAATGATCTCTTTTGCTGTTAAAAACTGAGCTCTGTGTGCAGGTGGTAGTTCCCCAGCAAGCGTATATATTACATGATTAGGTGAGGATTTAGGCACTCCCAGGGATCTTTTAATCATTTCGTTTTGCAGACGTTCAACCTTTTTGTTAATGTATTGTGGAGAATTGGCAGTTGTTGTTCTTGAGTACTCAATTTTGGATCTGACAATGCTTCTATACACATTCAGGGCTACTTTTGGATGTAGGCCTCCTTTGATTGAGGTAAGGCATCTCAACAGATTAGTCCTGTTTATAACTGCATTTTCTATAAATGTGTAGTGTTCAGATACAGACAAAGAATTGGAGATAATTCTTCCCAGAAACTTAAGTTTTTTTTCCTGTCGTATGGAAATATCATTGATGTTAAGTGTGATCTGTTTTATGCTGTTTTTGGCAAAGTACATAGTGTTTGATTTTTCCGGATTAAATGACAGATTGAGTTCTGAAAGTGCTCTAGAAAAGTTGTTTGCCTTTCTTTGTAGGAGTTGCAAGGCTTGATCAAAGTCATTATGATAAACCATAATTAGAAAATCATCTGCATATTGAAAGATTCGGCTGTTATTGTCTTCCAATTGGTGTAAAGAGGCAGTATACAGATTAAAAAGAAGTGGAGACAGACAGCTGCCCTGTGGGATACCGTTTGTGACAGTAACTTGATTATTGCCAAGTTTGAGAAACCTTTTAGAAAAGAAGTTGATGATCCAGTTGGAAATTTGTTGGTTGAGACCATATTTATTCAATATATTGGCTAAAGTGTTGATTTTAACGCAGTTGTACGCATTGTTTATGTCCAGTGAAAGAACTAAAACTTTGTAGTTGTTCGTTTTCAGCAGGGCAACTCTGTGTAAAAATTCATTCAGGCATGTTGAAGTTGACATTCCGCTTCTGTAAGCAAATGTGCGACTAGGCAAGGCATTGTTGTTTTCCAAATGTTGTATTATCATATCTTTAAGCATTAGATTAATGCACTTAACAAAGACTGAAATTAAAGAAATCGGTCTATAATTTGCAATGATTTCCCGGTCCTTGTTTGGTTTGGGAATTGGTACGATTTTGATGATCCTCCAGCTATCTCGAATTGAGTTATTAAGAAAGGCGTTGTTCATTGCTGTAAGTACAGCTCTTTTTGATATTCCCGGAAGTGCTTTTATCATATCGTAAGTTATTCTGTCATGCCCAGCCGCAGAACCTTTGTTTTTGTTTTTCAAAATTTCTTCAAAATGATCAAAATCGAAGGTAATATGTGGATTGTTTTCAGTAAGTTGAGAAATTGAGTGTGGATTGGATTGAGATATATCATTTGACTCTTCATCCGGAACTTGTTCCTTTAGTAATCTTAAGTACGGCATGTCATTATCATTGTTCCAAACTGCGGTATCTGCCTTCGTTCGGTTCCGAACATTATTGATGAATTTCCACCCTTCACGCGTGTTGCCATTTTTATTTATTGTATCTATTTTGTTATGAAAATTATCGCTTTTAGCTTTGTTGACGGACTTTTTCCATCTCTCAACTTCTATTCTAGCCTGTTCAAGGTTATTATACGTTGGATATCTTTTGGCTTTCTTGATCGCTGCAAGTTGTCGACGGTACAGGGTTGAAAGGTTATCATCCCACCAGTACTTAGGTGTTCTGCCATGTTTTAGAGATGTAGTCGCTGCCTTGATTTCATCACTTATCCCATCTGTAATCTGGTCAAAATCAGGTTCAAGTTCCAAATTGCTCAGCTGACCAAGTAATTTCTTTTTGTGCAGAAAGCAATTATTACGTATGTTAGAGTTGTTTATCTGAATGCTTATGGGTATATGGTGGCTGCCACCCCAATGACCTTCAAGGGTACACCAGCTTGCAGCAATTCCATTTGAAACAAAGGTTAAGTCGAGTACAGATCCCTGGGAGGTCCCTCTGCCTTCAAAGGTAGGGTCTCCATTGTTTAAATTTACAAAACCAGATTCCAGCATGATAATTTCAAGTTCCTTGCCTTTTCTGGATGTGACATGATCACCCCAGCATGTATTTCTGGCATTAAAATCACCGCATAGAATTACGTTGTCAAATCTTTCCAAAAAGGAAGCAAGTTTGGTCATTTCCTCAACGAATATAACAAAGGGAGTTGATGGTGGAAAATAGATCGATGCCACAACATAATTTTTTGCAAGGTTTGTAGTTTTAACTATTAAAATGTCTTGTTCCGTTTCAAACGGAATTTTGGAAAATTTTATTTGTTTCCTGAGAGCTATGGCAACACCACCATATCCATCAGGTCTGAATTTTTGAATGAGATTAAAGTTGATGAGTTTGTTAGAATTTTTGATGTTTTCTGAAAAAATTTCTGCAAGAATTACAATGTCATATTTGTTTTTGTTGACGAAGAATTCAATATAGTTTTTGTTAGTGCGAAATGATTGAATATTAAATTGTAGTATTTTTACCTTGTCCATGTTGATTTTGTGATTTGAGTTCATTGTCATCAAGATCAAGAGATACTCCGCATTTTTGAATTCTGTCATTGAAATGTTTCATAGCCTCTATGCCAATGGAATTATTGTTGTTTTTGAAGACATCCAACATAAATTTAACCAGTTCTTTGGTAATTTTTTCTAATTCTGTAGTTCTTTGATGCTCCTGGACGAAGACTGGCTTGGACGGCGATGGTTCTTCAAACATTCTGTTTGAAATTGAAACTCCCGGCTTGTGAATATACCTTTTCACCGGTTTTTTGGCCACAGAGCTATATGTGAATGGGGTCATTATTTCATTGACTTCGTTGTCAACTGATTGATCTACAAACTTCTTGGTTTTGGTGGTGTTATTTTTTGCAGTACTTGGAAGGTTAGGGAAATTTTCCTCATCCCAAAGGATATCAAAACGATTTTTCATGTTATACATGGTTATTACCTCCTTTCTGGACATTTTCTTCCTCGTCATTATTTTGTTCGTTTCAATTTCTTTGGCCCATGTTGAACATTTTTCTTTTTCCTTGCAGGAATGGTCTGATGACTTGCACAGAACACATTTTTTAAAATTGCAATTACCCTCACACATCTCATTGCTACACTGCAAACATCTGGTCTTAGAACGACACCCCATTTTCGTATGACCAAGTCTTCCACAATTGAAGCATAGTCTTACAGCCGGATAAAAAGTATTTACAACCAGTACCGTATGGTTAAAAACAACCCAAGCCGGGTGATTATCACCACTAAAGCCAATCTTGATAGTTTCGGTTTGTCTTACTTCAGACCCTTCTTTTCTGGTGAATCTTTTCACCGACGTTACTTTCCTATCGGAGACAATACCTTTTAACAGATCCTCCTCTGAAAAACAGACTGGTACGTTTCTAATGACTCCAAAGGTTTCCACAAAGTTCCTTGGAACAAAAGCTCTCAATTTTTTCTTCTTTAGATCTTCATTTTGAATGAAATTATTCGCAGAGATTCTGTTTTCAAAAGAGATTTTGTAGAGCGTAACACCAATCGCATCTACCCTTTTGATGCTGTTAAATTCTTTGGCTTTGATATCTTTGATTTTTTCTATAAAATACAAGCCATTTTTAACTTTTTTGTTTTTAATGTTTTCCGCCTCACTAGTATCTACTAACACCATAAACTCACCTTTATGCTCCGCACTATATAGGGTAGGTTCATCATTAAATCTCCTCTTCTTGGGATCTTGCAGAATTTTTTGCGTTAGGACGCCCGCATGTTCAGCAGCTTCATTTTGACACACATCTATAGCTTTATCGCCATTTTCTAGACCTCGTTTGAGTTTGGCATTTAACTGTTCAGCGCTAACAGTATTAGCCTCACTCACACACACAAAAGCGTCTCGAGGTACAGACGCCATGGCGTCCATAACCTCACTTAACGTGGCTTTCCTCACAGCCACACTCAGATTGTTTTGCACTCACACACCAGGTATGAAGAAAAAATTTTTTCCACCGTAGTTCCACAGCAACAGGTTTATATTTAATGATGTAAAAATTATCCACCAATCCCAATACATCAGCTGCACAGCAACCAGCAACTTGAAGAAAAATAAATGCACACAGCAGCCACCAGCAGAAAAAACCACACAGCAGCCACCAGCAAAGAAAAACACACAACCACCAAAATTTATGTATACCAGTATACACACACTAAAAGGCACTTGAAAATATTACGTCTTAACTCGTTCAACTCTCAACCAGGAATGGAAGCGTAAACGTACGTACGTGCCTCTCGCTACCGCTGGCTCTTCGATTTCATCCGACTTTTTCTAATTTTGTTCTCTTTATTCAATGCTACCGTTACCCCCTACCCCCGGGTGGCATTGGTGATCTTTCTGTTGGCGAAATTTCCCTTTTTGTTTGCAACTGTACTTTTTTTATAGAGACAGACCGGCGTAAGACAACAAGCAGCAGATTTACGACAATGGCCAAGGATAATCAGTGGAACTTTGTTGATGATGAGTCGGAGGCCTGTGATGCCATGCTGGCACCTCCACCAGCCCGTTCTGCCAGTGACCACCATGCCGAACGCATGTGGCAATTCCAGGTTCTCATGAATGATGACATGGCTGCCGGTGAAAAGTTGGCTGTGGTGGGCAACTGTGATGCACTGGGCAACTGGCAGCTGGGTGGCGGTGTTTTGTTGAGCAAGGATGACGAGGGTATGTAAGCTAAGACCATGACTCTTCTTTTTATGTAATTTGACCACATTACCAATATGGTCGAAATAGAGGATTGCATACAAGCAAAAACGCACAAAGACAACAAAAACAACACAAATTTTCGTAAACTCTTCTCCAGATTCGAATGTGTGGAGTTTGGATATCCCATTGCCTAGGGATCGCACAATTGCATATCGCTATTTCATTTGTGCTGTGGACCCGACAAGCGAAAAGCTATTGGTACGCCGTTGGGAAACTTCTTTGGCTCTACGACAAATAGCCATTGATGAACAGGGACCCCGTCGTACCGATGCCGATATCTTTGGTGTTGTCAGTGATGTTACGAAAGTGGATCGTGGTTGGTTATCAACGGAAACCATTGTCCAATTTAAGATCTTCAATGCCCCATTCTCGTGGAAACAACGCATGAAGAAACGACTCATGTATGTTAAAGTAACACCCATGAATTTGCGTATACCAACTGGTGGTGCGGCGGCAGATAACAACCCGCTGGCGGGATCCATTGCACCACTGGAGGATTCCCTCTCCAACGATACGCATGACACGCGTGAGAATGGCGGCGATTGTGGCCTGGCATTTTCCTTTTCTGAAGTTGTTACCCTGTCGGCCGATGACAGTGTCATTAGGCCACAGCCTCAATTTGGCGCAAGATGCGGTCCTGATGACCTGGTTATATTCCATTTGACAATTGGTGATTTCGAAAACACCGCCTATTTGATTGATTTGTATACGTACAGTTCCAAGGCGGAGGAAGATGAGCCGCCCCATCATTTGGGCTATCACTATGTCCTACCCAATTTGTTTAAAATGTCTGAAGGTCGCTTGGAAGTGCCCATTACATGTGCCTCGAAACATCGCCCAATGGGTATGATGCAGTTGGGTTATTTGCTCATTAAACCCACACCCTCTCTCAATATGGATATGTCGGTTTCGTATACACGTTATTGGAACAAAAAATGGACCGGTTTGGATGTGGGTCATCGTGGTTCGGGTACCTCATTCAAAACCAACGATATGTCGATCAGGGAAAACACAATTACCTCGCTGAAAAATGCCGCAGCCCAAGGTGCCGATATGGTGGAGTTTGATGTGCAGTTGAGCAAAGATTTAGTGCCTGTTGTTTATCATGATTTTATGATTTATGTTTCGCTCAAGTCCAAATGTAAAATGGAAGAACATGATTTTCTTGCCCTACCGGTGCGTGAGCTGTCACTGCAACAATTGAAAAATCTTAAAGTCTATCATACGACGGAGGGAAAATCACGTTCTTCGCGTTCATTTCAAGATGAAGATTTGCAGGAACATCAGCCGTTCCCACCTCTGGCAGATGTTCTCGATGCCATTGATCCTCATGTGGGCTTTAACATTGAGGTGAAATGGTCGCAACGTTTGCATGATGGCACCATGGAGGAGGAATTTGAACATATAATCGATCGTAATCTATATGTGGACTGTATTTTGGATGTGGTATTTCGGAAGGCTGGCAAGCGTCGTGTGGTGTTCTCATGTTTCGATCCCGATATTTGTACAATGTTGCGTTTCAAACAGAATCGTTATCCGGTTATGTTTTTGACCATTGGCGTCACCGAAAAATATCAGAAGTACATGGATCCTCGTGGAAATCGTATCGAGACTGCTGTTTTCAATTCTTTGGCTATGGAATTGTTGGGTATTGTGGCCCATACGGAAGATTTACTCAGGGACCCGTCACAGGTGAGCAAAATAAATTAGTGCCTACGCAACAAAGTTTTTTTTTTCAAATTTGGTTCCAAAGGGATATGGGCGTGATCACTGAAATCGGAAAGGTTTTCTAAATCGGTCCAAATTCTAAAAAAAAAAAAAAATTAGAGAAATCACACATTTTAATCCAAATTTTTTCCGAATTTGGTACAAAACTTGTATGGACCTGATCACTAAAATCGGAAAGTTTTTCTAAATCGGTCCAAATTATAAAAAAATGGAGAAATCGGCATATTTCTAAAATAAATCAGAGCGCTGGGAAAGAATAGTTAAATGAGTTATGGATTATTTTGGAAATTAAGAATTGCTGTAGATCATTCTGTAGAAAGGAATTTGAAGGTTTTTTTTTTAATTTTATTAAAAATGTCGGGCATAGCATCAAAAATTAGGATAAGTTTAAAATTGTTCGAATTTGTCATCTTTTTCACGATTAAAGGCCTTCAAAGGGCCAATGAAACCGTCACACGCTGCCCGAATGTTGCTCTGCGGTATTTTGGCCCATTCCCGGCGAAGCGCTTGCTTTAAGTGATCGACATTTTGGTATTTTTTAGTGCCATCCTTGCTTTCCAAAATACTCCAGATAAATTGGTATCCGGAGATTTTGGTGGTCATTGTGCAGCTTTTAACGGTTGTCGGACGAGTGGCTTAGAAATGACAGCCAGAAGTTGGTTGCAGTTTTTTCATCTCACCCTGTATATTTATCATAAAGAGCATGCAAGGGAATATCCATCCCAGATTTTTGAAAATCTTTTTGTAAATATTTAGATGAAATTCGCATTATTTACGAAACTTTTGGGGTAATGGTTAGATGTTTTGTTCGCCTGTTGAAAATATTTTCTTTTAAGATTTTATGAAGAGGTTTTCGTATTATCACGACTTGTCCAATTAAAATTTTATTGACATCATATTTTGAAGTGATTTACTGTTGTTTACAGGCACTATGTCAGTTGTTTATAATCAAATGCATGATAACGTCATTAGAATATTTGCTGATTATAAAACAAAATATAACCAGTTCTAGCTGGAGAGTGTGTGTGTGTATGTAACAATGAAAATAACTTGTATTGTTGTGAATTTTCAGGTAAATCTAGCAAAGGAACGAGGTCTGGTTGTATTCTGCTGGGGCGAAGAAAATAATTGCAAAGACACGATTAAGCTATTGAAAAATTTGGGTCTACATGCGATTATTTATGACAAAATGGATGTGTTGACTTCCAAGGAGATAAAGGTATTTATTTACTAAGATATTGCCTTGAATAAATTAAGATCTTCTTCTTTATTTCATTACAGCAAAGTGTTTTCCTGCTGCAGGCCAAGGAAAGTCAAAACGAACTGTTAAAACTACAAGCCTTAGAAATGGGCAAAGTATGGCACACAACATCATCACCATCATCTGCGTCCTCGTCGTCGTCCTCATCATCGCCAAACTAATTTTAGAAAAGCATTTTGTTTTTTGTTTTCTTTTTTTCTCTAAACTAATGATAATTAGCTGAAGTAATCAGTTTTGTAATTTAAAATAATAGCAGATTAATATTTCATAGATTTTTTTACATTAAACAATAACAATCTACATACACTCCAAACAATAATTGATAGACACAAAGAATCTGCTGTACAAAATCATACAAAAATTGGATGCAAATGAAAATTGAATGTATTTATTGACGAAGGCTACTGTGCGATATAGTGAAATCGACTACCATTGTATAAATGTCATAGGGCAGTTGTCTTGAGTCATTTGCATAGAATTTATAAAGATATCTTTGATTTGTCTTATGATTTTGCTAACCAAAAAAAAGGAACTCTTTAATTGTATAAAATCAAATAATGTATTCATAACTTAAACAATCACATACAAACATGTACACACATTTTTTTATTTTCCTCCTCCTCTATTTATAATATTTGTTTTTAAATATTTTTTATAGAATTTTTTTCCTGATATATTTGTTTTGTATTTCTTTAGCCGGAAATTTTACTATCAATACAAATAAATGTTTTTTTTTTTGTTTTTTTCATCAACTACAATTTGGCAATGTAAACATTATAATTTATTGCCTTACAATTGGAGTTTTCCAATATTTCAATGGCCAAAATTTCTTTTGGGTGGAAATTACTGGTTCATACATTTTTGATACTTTTAGGAGAGCAAGATAACTAGCCAGTGAAAAATGAACACTTTGATATTTAATTTACAACAAAAAGACAAGGAATGCTATTTTTTATAAATAAATTATATTTCAAAGAAAGAAGTAATTTTATATGTCCATGCTTTTTATATTGACTAAGTAAATTATTATTACCAAAGAAAACAAGTTTATTCTAAATCAAAAAATCTAGTAATTTTTTTTATTTTCAACAAACTATGAAGCTCTGTTGTAACAGAAATTCATCGGTTTGTTTCCAAAGGCCTTAACTACTTGAACAATTGAAAATAAGAAAACAAAGGAAGTTTATACTCATGTGCTGTGTTTTTTTTTTGTTCTACAAAGAATCGAGAGTGATGACCTACTCTTCTGGATGCGATAATAATTAATATGTCGTCACAAAGTAAACGCCAGATTTATGGGGAAGTTTTTTTTTTTTAATTTCTTATCTCATTCCCACACATACACACATAAACAATGCAATCGTTTTGAGATGGTCAAATACAAACAGATTGTGTATCTATTACTATAAAATATGCCATTTTTCTTTAACAACAAAGCAAACAATGGATTGTTGATAAACAACAACTGGCGCAGCATACATATATACTTGATCTAGTATATTATTAAATTATCAATAATTTCTGGTTTTTTATATAAATAATATATGAAATACCATAAAGTAGACAATGTGGTAAATTCAATTTACTTTATAAAAAATATATATAAAAATTTGTTAATAAAACATATTTTTTTAATAATATTACTCAGAATGGAAGGTACATTTTTTTAAAATTTGTTGTATAATTGATTCATTAGGTAGGTATTTTGTAATAATTTGGAAATGTACAATTAATTTTTTATTAAATTGAATATAAATATTGGCCATTTTATTTTTTATTTAAGTTCTAAAAAGCAAATGTAACTCAGCTTATAATTGAAAAAGATTGAAGCATACTTTTAGGTACTATTCACTTTTAATGAATTACTAATTTAGATCCTTTAAGAGTGGCGTAAGAAAAATCAGTTATTTGCAAAAGAAAAGAATTTAAACTTAAATAGGTTTATTGTTTTAAGCTTTGTGTGTATTGGAAATGAAAATTATTAAAAGTAGTATATGAATACACGACATAATTTCGTCTTTTTTGCAGAACTAAATGGCCTTTTTATGTATTTCGAAAGAAAATGAATGCAAAAACGCCAATTATATGTGTGTTTTCAATTTTTTATTTATAAAATCCCAATACATGAAAATTACGCATAGAATTGGGGTTTTTCTTCTTGAATATGATTACTGTAATGACCCGCGGTTCACAAACACACACAGTTTTAAGTTTAATCGTTTTTCAATTTAATTCTTTTTATTTTTTCTCGAAAACCCAAAATCATACAATCCTTTGCATGCCTACTTAGATTTCGAATGACAATTTCATACCATAGAAACTTAACTACTCAATATCAGTGTTGCCAGATCTCCACATCCCTCCTATGTTTTTCAGCTTCAGCGTTAGTCTTGGATTTACCTGATCTTGACCTATTTGTGTCTCAACACGATCTGCAAACAAATTATTATCACCCGGTTCCGGCGTTATAGGCAATTTCTTAAGGTGACTGACGTTGCGCCTGTATAGCTTGCCATCCTTACGAATGGTGACATCATTTCCTTTCCGTTCGACAACTTCACATGGTTCTTTCCCAAATGTCGGTGTCAACTTATTTGGGAAAATCACATTTTGCACCAATACTTTGTCACCAACTTGAATATTATTTTGTTTTGCACCACGAACCTTGTCCGCCTTCTCTCTTCCTTTTTCTTTATTGATCGCGTCTAAGTCTCTGGCTTCCGCATCCAAAATGTTTTCACCGACATCAGATATAGATGGTATTTTGTCCCGAATTACTCGATTGAAAAGCAGTTCCGTTGGAGCTTTTCCAGTTGTTCCATGAGGGGTGACATTGTACATTAGCAGGAACTTTTGAATTTCCTTCTTATAGTCCGTTCCATTACTATGAGCTATTCGCAGGCGTTTGACAATCGAACGATTCATATTCTCTACTTCTCCATTCGCTTGTGGCCAGTAGGGTGGGGACGTCACGATTTCTATGTTTTTGTTAGCGCAATAGCTCCTGAATTCGTCACTGACAAACTGACGACCATTATCTGTGGTAACTGACTTTGGGTAGCCCAATCGAGAGAACAATTCATCCAGAAAATTGATTATCTCGTTTGAGGTAATTTTCTTTAGAAATTTTACCTCTTGGTATCTTGAATAATAATCAATGACCACAAATATAAAATCATTGTTTGGTAATGGTCCTAACAGATCCATTGCTAGGCATAACCAAGGCCCTTCTGGTAAAACACGTCGAGTCATCGGTGCTGGGTGTGGTGGTCTTGACACCAACAAACATTCGTGACAGTTCTTCACATGTTTCTCAACATCTCGATCTATCAGTGGCCACCATACTTTTGATCGTACCCGTCGCTTCATCACCGTTTCGCCTGGATGACCTTCATGTGCCAACGCTAAAACTCTCGTTCTTAACGGACCAGGAATTACGATTTTGGTACCTCGTAGGAGAATATTGCCCAATGTACATAACTCAAGTCTAAACGGAAAATAGCGGTTGGATGTAGCCGAAGTCCATGAATTATTTTTGATGCTTTCGACAGCTTCCATTAGCTCAAGATCTAACTGGTTCTTTTCCACGATTTCAAGAATTGACACTGCTCGTGGAACGGTTTCTTCAATTATTGAGCATATACTGATTTCAGTTTGTTGATCAAAAGACGTATTATGTTCAATTTTGCATAATCTGGATAAGGAGTCGGCGATGTTATATTTACCAGCCTGATAAATTATTTTAAATCTAAATGACTGAAGGCGTAACACCCATCGCTCTATCCGAGCGGGTGGCTTTGATGTAGGTTTGAAAATTGTTTCCAGAGGCTTGTGGTCTGTTACCAATTCGAACTCGATGCCGGCCAGATAATAGTAGAATCGTTCGACGCTCCAAACCAAAGCCAAACTTTCCTTTTCTGTTTGTGAGTATCTACGTTCTGTCTCAGATAAACTTTTGCTCGCAAATGATATGACTTGTGGCATGTTGTTGCAAAATTGAAGCAAAACCGCTCCAAGGGCCACTGGACTTGCGTCAGCTATCAAGCGAGTGCGCCTTTCTGGATCGAAATATGATAATGTTGGAGTCCTGGCCAGTTGTTGTTTAAGTTTTAAAAAAGCTTCATCTTCCCGATGGCCCCAGTCGAACTTAACATCTTTTTTCATTAAATTCCTGAGCTTATCCGTAAGATCAGCCAAATCTGGAATGAATTTCCCTAGATAGGTGACTAAACCCAGGAAACTTCTTAATTCCTCTTTATTGGTTGGTGGACGAAAATTCATGATGGTGTCAATTTTTTCAGGGTCTGGATTTATGCCTTTGTCAGACAAAATGTGGCCTAAGAATAGTAGCCTTCTTGCTTTCCAAATACATTTATCCTTGTTCAGCATGACATTCGCCTTTTCTAAAATTGCCAACACCTCTTTAAGATTTCCGTCGTGTTCAGCCTCTGTCTTCCCAAACACGATAATGTCGTCCAAATAGTTTATAGCGCAGTTACACGGCGCCAAAATGCTTTCCATAATCCTTTGGAAAATTTCTGGTGCAGAGTTTACGCCGAACAATAATCGTTTATATCTGAATAGGCCTTTTGAAGTTATAAAGGTGGTTATCTCGCGACTCTCTTCCTCTAACTCCAACTGGTGGTATGCATTTTTCAGATCCAACCTAGAAAAATATTCAGCACCCTGTAGCTTGGTCATGAAGGAATCGAATGTTGGTAGCGGATAATTTTCCCGTAATATGGCCATATTCGCACGTCTCATGTCGATGCATAATCGGATATCCCCGTCACCTTTAAATACAATTACTATTGGAGATATCCATGGGCTGGGTCCTGTCACGGGTTCTATAATATCTTGTTGTAAAGCTTCATTCAATTTTCTCTCTACCTTCTCTTCTAAGCCAGATGGTACTCTCCGCAACGGCTGTTGGACAGGTTTGACAGACTTGTCAATTGTCAGCGAAACTTTAATGCCTCTTATTTTTGGAAAGACATGACAGTTCTCGATTTGATTTACCCCTCGTCCTAGTTTCAAAACGCCCAATTTGATAGCAGTAACTCGACCCAGCAGGGATTGACGGCCGTTCTCAATTACATAAAATGAGGAGATCAAATTTGAAACTGGATCAAGGCCAATTACCGCTTCGAAGACAGCTTTCACCTTGAGTAAATTGTTTCCAGCATACGCACGAAACTGATTCTCAGATTTTGTCCGTATATTCCAAACCGTGGCGTTTCCATTAACGAGGCATTCCCAATCCACTTCACTCAACAGATTATGATGTGATCCAGAGTCAATCAGCATGTGAATCTTCCGACCCCCTATATAGCACTCTATCATTTCGTCCATGTGCCCGTTAAACTTCTCTGCAATTTGGAAACAATTGTGTTCTTTCCACTTATTTTCCATAGATCCAACTTCTTTCACACCGTCACTTGAGACAAATTGAATGTTTGAATATTTCCGCTTTTTCGCATCTGTATATCCAAACCTCGGCTGCTTGCGTTTCAAACCTTTCGACTTGCATTTGCGAGCAAAATGTCCAATAAGCCCGCATTTGTTGCATTTTGAATTTTTAGCAGGACAGTCAATACTTGTACCTTCATGCCCCTGCCGACCACATCTGCCACATTCAATCTGTTGATTCTTTGATTCAATCTTGTTAATATCGATAGATACATTGCCCAATTTCATTGTTTCTGTCTGGTTATTTATCTGTTCATGGGCATGACACATTTCGATGGTTTCTGTGAGTGTATATTCTTTTTCTAGGAGTCGTTTCTTTAAATCATTTGGGGCCCAATTATCAATTAGCTTGTCTTTTATATTTATACCCAGTATCTCATGTTTTGTCTCACCGAAATGACATTTTGCGGCCTGGTTCCGTAGTCTAACAAGAAATTTGTTCAGACACTCACCTCCTTCAGGCTTAAGCGATCGAAAAAGGTGTCTTTCAAACGTTGAGTTTCTTTCTGGTGAAAAATATACGTTGAGTTTTTCTACCAGAATTTTGAACACATCAACACCTCCAGTTGTATCGTCAGACTCAACAAGTGCTCCGGGAATGTTGTATACAACCTCTTGAAGTTGTGTGCCACCCAAGTACAGAAGTTTGTTCCTCTTTTTCGCAGTGTCTTTTATTTCCTCTGCATCCAAATATATGGAAAATGAACGATACCATTTTTCCCACTCTGTTCGCAGAAGTGCCTTATCTATGGCATCACAAAGGAAAGGTGATATAGCGACCGAGCTCATCTCTTTACACAACCTCGGACTCACGCCGTCCAACGTCTTTACAATTAAATGTAATGCAATCCGACGACAATTTAATGTCCCGACAATTTAATGTCCTGCAATTTAATGTTCTGACAATTTAATGTCCCGACAATTTAATGTCCCAAGTTCTCCTTATCTGCAATTAAATGCAAAACAATTAAATGTCTCTCCATTTGCTACAATTAAATGTTGCACTTACATATTTCTTCTTTCCTTTTTTCAGATGACTATTATCAGTCAACGCCGACAATTTAATGTCTTTTCGCTGCAATTTAATGCAAAGGAATTTGAAATTTCCTTACAATATGATGCAATTAATATTGCATTCCTCCAGCTCAATTAAATATTTACCTTCGTCGCCAATGTAATGACCCGCGGTTCACAAACACACACAGTTTTAAGTTTAATCGTTTTTCAATTTAATTCTTTTTATTTTTTCTCGAAAACCCAAAATCATACAATCCTTTGCATGCCTACTTAGATTTCGAATGACAATTTCATACCATAGAAACTTAACTACTCAATATCAGTGTTGCCAGATCTCCACAATTACGAAAATGAATCATATAAACCGGCAGCGTTATCGTCAACAGTAACGAAGGCATTACTATACCTTATAATCAGAGATAGTTATCCAGCCGCCAATAAGTGTTCCGTTTAATGCAGGCATGCTTTTTGTTGTTGTGACGGCTTTACATGTTTTTTTTTTTGGAATTCTACGTATCCGGTTCTCACTCCTGGTGCTAAAATTCGGCCATTTTCGTGGGTTGTAATCAAATATATTCGGAACCTCTTCCTTTCTGCAATTCTACTCAGTACAGGTGGCAGATTAATTGTAACGTATGGTGATAACACTGTGGGACAAATTTCAAACTAGATTAGTTGATGCTTATTATAAAAGACGATAAAAAACTATTTTAAAATATGAACGATTAAAGCGTTCTGGGACAAAATAATTTATAAAACAAATTGAAAAGTATCAATCGTCAGATGTGCAACCTGAGCCAATGTTGGTTTATTTAAATATATTTTGATTTGCGTTATGCCCATTCAAACTCTGGACCCTTTATAGGGGAGGCTCAGAAATGAGTGGACAAATATCGTCCATTGCGTATCTGACCTAAATCTGATGTAAATATTACAACGTGCAAGATGTGGACTACTTCCTTCACTTTATAGTTTTGGGAAAATGTTGAAATGTGCGTGAGGTATGAGATGTAGTGGTTCGAAGTATTCCACTTCAGTCTAATATTGATAAAAAATATTCGGATGTGTGAAGTTTAAAGAAAATCGAACATAAATTTCCAATTTAATGTGAATAATTTTTTTAATCATTTTTTTTTTGTGGGGGAACGTACGAGACGCATTGGGTGGATAATTTCCACATTTACATCCGATTTCTGGTTGGGAGAACTATTTTTACCTGACCTCGTACTGATATAAGTATTATGATTTACAGCTCAAAATTAGCTCAAAATTGGATGATCCTTTCATTGGTGACAAATTCTGACATTTTGTGGGGGAAGGATATTGCTCATCTTCGAACACTATCTAAGTTTCATAAATCGGACCAAATTGGAGACTCCTATCGTGCGCAAGCCAGACGGATGGCTACCCCTATATCAACTCCAAATATCCTGAAACAGATGTGAGGCAAACAAGTCAACTAAGGGGTCTTTTTATACCCTCCACCATACTATGGAGGGTATATTAATTTTGTCATTCCGTTTGTAACTCCTCGAAATACTCATGTCAGACCCAACAAAGTATATATATTCTTGATCAGCGTAAAATTCTAAGACGATTTAGCCATGTCCGTCTGTCTGTTGTAATCAGGCTATCTTTCGAACAAATTGAGATAGAAGCTAAAATTTTGCACACATGTATATTTTGCCAGTAGGCAGGTTAAGTTCGTAAATGGGCCATGTAGGTTCAAGTTATCATACAGCCTCCATATAACGGTACCTCCCGATATTCGGCATTTTGATGATTTTAGCGACATTATTCACCAGAATTGTTTCAAATTTGGCATTTGAAGTTCGTAATGGATACTACAGCCTAAGACAGAAAATTATATGTGCAGGTCCACGTCTTCGCATAGCTCCCATATAACGGTACCCCCCAATATTCGGTATTTTGATGATTTTAGCGACATTATTTACCGGAATCGATTCAAATTTGGTATTTGAAGTTCGTAATAGATCCTACATCCTGAGTCGAAAAATGACCCATGTAGGTCCACGTCTTCATATAGCCCCCATATAACGGTACCCCCCGATATTCGGTATTTGGATGATTTTAGCGACATTATTTAACGGTATCGTTCCAAATTTGGTATTTGAAGTTCGTAATAGATACTGCAGCATAAAACAGAAAATGAGCCATGTAAGTCCACGTCTTCGTATAGCCCCCATTTACCGATTTTAACAGAATTTTTACGGATTTTTTTTTGGAAATTGCCAAATTTGTGCCAAATGATGGAGGGTATTAAAAGTTCGGCCCGGCCGAACTTACAGCTTTTTTACTTGTTTAAAAATATGGTTATAATCTCCCTTTAAACGGGATCATAGTTAGTAAAAATATTCTACAAAATTATTTGTCAAAAGATTCTAATATAGGTCTTAGAAAACATCAAAAGTCTAAATTTTACTTAAACGCCAGAAATGCATAACCAATAAAAAAGCAGCTAAGTTCGGATAGGCCGAACTTTTAATAGTCCCCAACATTTGGAAGGAACTTTAACATTTTCCATAAAATTCCAAAAATACCGTTACACGAAAATGTGGACTTTGCAAAAGTAATTTTTTGGTCATAGGTGGTAGTACCCATTAAGATCTTCAAATACCAGATTTGAAACAATTCGGGTGAATTAATTCGCTAAAATCGTTAAAATACCGAATATCGGGAGGCACCGTTATATGGGGCCAATACGAAAACGTGGACCGGCATGTGCCCTAATGGTAAAATGCACACATATGCAAAATTTTAGCCTTCTATATCGATACGTTCGAAAGCCCATTTAGGAACTTAACCTGCCTAGCATCTATGAAAAATATTATCCTTCTATCTCATGCGCTCGAAAGATAGCGTGTTTACAACAGACAGGCGGACGCACAGACAGACGGACGGAAGAATCGACTTAGAATTTTAAGCTGATCCAGAATATATAAACTTTGTAGGGTCTATCATGAGTATTTCGAGGAGTTGCAAACGGAATGATAAAGAATTGTGGAGGTTTTAAAAATTCTTTATTTTTTTGGCAAACTTCACAATTTTTCCGAATTCGCTGCAAATTTTCTTATAATTTTACTGTCCAGTTGTCATTTTAGGTTGTGGAAAATTTCAAGTGGATATTATTAGTATTCGGTATGTATGAGCTTCAATATTTTGTAGAAATGAGACTTTCAGAAGGGAACGGAGTTTACCGTATTACTTATCTTCGGATGTGTATTTATGTTTGAAAGAATTAGTCTGATGTGTCAATTTTGGACTAAATCGAATACTTCTTTCGAAAGTCATTGTATGTCCCGACCATAAAGACAACCTTGCTTTTGACGTATCAGCCATATGGCTGAGGGTACTAAAGAGTGTCATGTGTCATATATATGGTGATAAATAAAAATTATATTCATCAAATACAATCGCCTCTCTTTTCCCCCTCTCTTACCAAAAACAAATATTTGTGACGAGTACTTGACCTCAACTTAATATATTTTGAAAATTTTAATCACATTTTCATAATTACCCCACATTAATTACCGCACCAATACTTCAAATAATTATGAATTTTTAAAATATCGATAAGTATGTGCGTGTTGTGTTTTTGCAATACATTTTTCAAAATTGATCATTACAAGTCACTCATGTGTAAATATCAAATGCGAAATAAAAATAAAAAAACAACACCGCCAACAACAAGCAATAAAATTCAAAAATTTCATTTCATTCATGCATTCGAGCAGCTATGTGCCACCATTTGAATGAAATTCATTAAAAATCCTTCAAAATGTTGTTCAAAATAAAATACATTTTTTTCGAAAAATGAAATCGAAATCAAAGCATTTCGATGATGACAGGAACATGTTAAAATACATTCGGTGTGTGGGTGTGTGGGTGTGTGGGTGCGTGGGTGGATGGGTGAATAGTGGTGGTGTTCAATTGCATTGCGAACACCAGCTATCCAGATTGCAGTTGCATCATGTAAACATGGCAGGCGATAGGGTTGACAATATGGAAATGTTCTACATGGTTAGAAATAGATGATATATCAAATAAAAGATTTATTTCACTTTACAGGAAAATTGCAGAATTAGCTTAAAAAATAAAATTTGTTTTCATTTTGAAAATATAATAAAATCTCGTTGGGCATCCCTATTTTTTAAACATTTTGGAATTTCTTGTATGTATTTTTAGCTATTTCTTGATTCCATGCTTAAAATTTGTATTACATCCGTATCCGAATGGGTTGTAACCCACCCTACATAATTATTTTAAAAATATGATAACCTGTATTTAAGAATCAAAGATGTAGTCGCTCCAAAGGATGGATGTTAGACTATGTAGCAGGTATGTAAAAAGGGACAGACAACCATTTATTTGGATGGGCAAAGTATACACCTACAGGCCTTCGAAATATAAAATAAATTTTAGGAATATTTTAGAGATCCTTAAAATAAACCATTTCATACCCTACACCACACTGTGGTCAGATTATTAGGTTTTTGTGCATTTGTTTGTAACAAGGAGAAGGAAGCGTCTGTCATTGAATTTTTGTAAACAAAGTACAGGACGCATTTGTCGTCCCATCGAGATACAATTTTGCACAAATCCTATATTTGGCCAAAGGACGAACCCCATTGAAATTGAATTCATCCGATTTGTTCAATTTGCCCTTCACAATCGTAATATGCACTTCGTAACAACGATATTCAGGACAATATATAAAATTCATGGCAGAAATACCTTTGCCAAAATTTTATCGAGATCGACTCAGATTTGGATATCGCTCCCATACAGGGTGAGATTAAAAAACTGCTACCAACTTCAGACTGCTGTCATTTCTAAGCCACTCGTCCGACATATGTTAACATTATTCCAGTGACAGCTCATTATATTGTTTACAAGCGTACGAAAGCATTTTGGTGAGAATTTTCCAGAAAAAAAGTTATTCGTGATAAAATTCAAGCGTGATAGTGTGATTTCTTTATATTTGGCTGGAAAACCACAAGTGGCTATCGTTAGAGCGCTCCAGCATTTAAATGTGAATAAATCTTTTGCGTCTCGTACGATCGCTCATTACCGGAATAATGGTAGCGTACAGCAACATCAGCAGAAATGGTTCGAAAAATAAAGAAGCAACTTGATCGAGACCCGCGCCATAGTTGCCGAAAAATGGTTCGTGAGCTGGACATATCGCAATATTCCATTCGGTAAATATTGCAAAATGAGTTCGGGGTAAAGACATTGAAATTCCAAAAAGTGCAAGAACTTACACCGCAACAGAAAGAAAATAGACTCAAAAGAGCTAAAGAGTTGCTTCGCTTGGGCGAACGTGGTGAACTGTCGAATTTGGTTTTCTCCAATGAGAAAACATTCGCTGTCCAGCAGTTTGTAAACAAGCAAAATGATCGTGTTTACTTGCACAAGAGGTCATCTGAAAATGTGCACTTCGGTTGGCCACCAGAACTCAAGCGCCGGTCATGGTGATGGTGTGGGCCGCCATAACAGCCGATGGTCGATCTCCGCTCGTATTAATCGACCATGGCATCAAAATAAATGCCGAATATTATCGCGAAAATATTCTGGAGGGTGTATTAAAGCCTTGGGCACGCAAAC